ATTCTTACGAAAGGCGTGGTGTCAAATGCTCAAGGTTGCTTCTTCGGCAGGAGAAATTCTCCAGGTAGAGTTAAAAGTTTTGGAGCTTGGTGCTATCTTTCTTTATCTCTTTTTCTTGTTTTCTTTGCAGGCATTCATGGATCTGGAGGGAGCAATCGACGAGGACTGGATCTCTTCCTCGTACGAGTCGATCGAGCAAGTTGGCAGACTCATCGGCATTCAGAGAAAAAATCCCCCCTGGATCCCGCAGACCTCCGCTGCTGTTGCTCTTCGACTGATGGTCTTTGACTCTTCGATCGCCTACACCGAAGAACAAAAGCAGCAGCTCATGGACAGGCAACGAAGAGTAAGCCATCCATCCATTTCGCGTGTTCTTTTGCTTACTTTTTCCTGAGTTTTTACTTTCGTTCGTGTTTTTAAGTTGAGAATCGGTCCTTACGCTTCTCTCCTTCCAGGTTCCAATGAGAAGATCGAAAGGAGAGGCCCGCGAAGTTTTATACGAGGCTGGTAGTACTAGGCCGGCAGAAGGAGAGGAAGACAAAGAGACCAAGGAGGCAGAGTTTAATTCCCAAGAGGAGGAGCTACCACCACAGTTTTACGAGAGGAGTGGTGGTGACTTTGGAGCTCATCCATCTTGGAGCGCTCGGCAAGAGAGCGCCGCCGTTCTACTGGAAGAGGAAGAAGAAGATGATGAAGACGAAGACAAGAGGCTGGCAATGAAAGCTAGTGGCGAGAGTGACGATAGCTCGCAGATGAACTGGGAAGGCCAGGATTCTTTCGAGGAGCTCGAGCAGCCAGGCCATGGAAGCCTCCATCATCTGGAAGAGCTGGAGATGGAGGAGGAAGAGGATGGATTGATGTTGGAAGAGGAGGAGGAGCTGAGTGACGAGGAAGAGGAGAGCGAGGAGGAAGAGTTCCAGCAGGAAGCGTCGAGCAGTGATACGGACGAAGAGCAAAACAAGCACGACAACTTGGTGGTGGCCAAGAACTTGATCAACATCAATGCGAGCTTGGAAGAAAGCGGTGATGATCTTCATACTGCTGCTGCTGCTAGCAAGATCAATGGGGGTTCCAGCGAGAGAGTTGTAAACTGCGGCTTGACAAGCGAGTTAGAGTTTGAGCGGGGGACGTATGAGGAGTGAGTGGAAGTTTTACTTTCTCCCATACAGCGAAGGTGTCTCTCTTCTCGGCGTACAGTTTGATTTGTGAATTCAACCCTGACTTTTGTATGTAATTTCTTCTAGGAAAAAAGGTTTCTTTATTCTATGAATTTGCTTTGAGATGTCCTAGATTAAACATTTGACAGAAGGGGGCACAGAAGAGACTCGTTCTTCAATTTCTTGATACTTAAAAAAGTGATGTGTGGGATTATGATTGAACGCTTCTAAGTCAGAATCTGTGCTACATGCAGAGCTCTCTACCTGATTAAGGTTAGGAAGAATTATAATCCATGTTTGAATTAAATCCAGAATATTCTTATTCTAGAGTCTTAGAACCCTAAACGTCCAAACCCTAAAGCTGAGGGTGGCATCGATGGATGCATCGGAACTGGAGAGTGACGCAGCGGCATCGGAACTCGAGAGTGATGCAGCGGCTGAGTTGATGCTTTTGGAAGAGGAGCCATTCGTGAGAGGTAGTGTCAAAGCTTACCTTGCTCAGCCTATGAGGGCTGTGCCTGCTGGGGTTGACGCATATCATCGTTTCCTGTTGTCGACATCACCTCCTCTGGTGGATCTCTGCCCGCAGGACTTCGAGACGGACTGCTGGGATAGCTTCCTCTGTGATATGAATTCTTGGTTCTCTGGGCTTCCAGACAGGCCTCTGAGATCAAAGCCAGAAGTGCTGATCGATCTTCATTTCAGAGGTTTCCTTTTCTCAGCGGCTGACACGGTGCTGCAACTCGTAAAGGGACCCAAGGATGTGTGTGCTGGCATGGCGAGCTATGCCATTGGGAACTGGATAGGTGCGCCGGAGCTTGTGGTGAGCAGCAAGGGCCATAGCCCGCTTGTTGTTGGTGTCATGGTGGGGGTCATTGACACGGGAGCAGTTGCGAGGGTCTATGCTTACATGCTGAGCAGTGGTTCTTCGTTTGGGGTCGTCTCATCCTACGCAGAGACGAAGTTTTGCGCGCGCTTGGACAACCGGTTTCTCTTGTCAGACCCTGTTCCACTTCCGCTTATCGGCATCAGGTTTCTGATTCACATGGCTACTGGACACAGGGTGCAGCAGAGTACCAGGCCACTACCTTCTCCACGAGGCTTTGCGTCGCGCTTTGCGATGGGTGTCTTTGAGACGTGCTGCCATGTCGCAGGGGTGCATCGCATTGCCAAGATGGTCCACGAAGTGGGCAGCTTGGAGGCTCGGGATCTTCAGATTCTAGAGTTTTTGTCCGGGGCCACGGGAAGGATTTCCGCTGTTTACCGTGCTCTGTACAAGGGCAAAAACGTCGTCGTGAAGATCACGGACTTGACCACAGGTTAAAAGCTTATTTCTACCAGCCCAGAGCTTTCACCAAATTGTGATTGGCTTTTGCAGGTGTTACAAGTGTCCAAGACTGCTTGATGAAGTGTGTGAGGGAGGTGGATGCGTACATTCGGCTGCATAAGCTGCAGCGAACTTGTATCCCTTGCTTGTTTGAGTATGGGTTCTTGTGCGGCGGGATGTTCTTCTGTGTGGTGATGTCGGATGCTGGCAACTCGGCAGGAGAGGGGTGGTCGCCGGTCGATCAGGACGAGGTAGAGGCCGTCGTGTCTCGAGCACGAAAGGCTCTTGAGAGCTTTCATGCTCGTGGAGTGGCCATGGGTGACCTTTGCGTCGAGAACATACTTGTTTGGCCACATGACAAGAGAGTCTCCATAGTCGGCTTTGAGGAGTGCCTGGTGGGTCCAGCTTGTTCTAAGGTGGCCATGGACAACGATATTATTGCTCTTCGCGAGTGTGAGCTTGTGTTACAGCAGATGGTGTTACAGGAGATGGCGTCCATGAAAGCGACGCGCTCACGAGACACGAGGGGTACTGCCACAGCGGACTGGGAACTCTGGCTTGCAGACGTGGTCGATTCTGCCGAGTCTGGTGTGAATCTAGAGGATACAGAGGAGACAGAGGATACAGAGGATACAGAGGATACAGATACAGAGGTTTGTTTCAGCTTTACTGCTATTAGGTACTTATTATGTCTTGCAGGAGTAAGCTGACGAGGTTCTCCAGCTTTGTTCTTTCTGTGCTTTCTTGTTTTTTTCTTTTCCTTTGCTGTCTTACTTCTAATCCACTCACAAAGATTAGATATTCATGATATTTCCCAGCAGTTTGTAGAAGTTTTCTAGAGTTGCTAAGTGGTGGAATAGTGCATGGCCAAACTTCACAGTAAGCAAAGGCAGAGGTCCACAACGAACGGGAAGCTCCACAAAGCACCTCCACAAACAGCTTGCAGGCCGCCCAACATTTGCTTGTGAACAGTAACTTGTCAAAAGTTGGAGAGGAGAGCAAAGTCAGGTGGGACTCAGGCATCAGCAGCGGGAGCTGGCACAGACTTTGATGGTGAAGCCAAGGCTTCCTCCACCATCTCTATTCCTGTTGCTCATCTTTGCCTAAGAGGGTGTTGTGTGGAGGGTTCTTGTCTTTGAGGTGTTAAATTTGATTATAGTGATCACAGGCTTTAGAAAAGCTCGAATTAAGACGGTTCATTGATGAGGATAGTTTGAACAGGGCTACGGCCTGGAAGACAGGAGAACATCATATTATACATAGTAGAACATACAAGATGTTCACATTCTAGCTGACTGCCAGGACTTCCACCAATGCATGAAAGAACTGATTGCCACCTCCTGTGTTGCCACTGCAAAGCATTAGGACGCATTTGTATATTCTAGGCATCTTCTATGTACTGCGTGGCGCCTATGCCATTCACTTTTTTGACAGAATTTCCAGGAATGTTTGCTGTGGCGGTGGCGTCAAAGGGACTCCACCACTGTGTTGCTGGCTACGGCTGCTAGGTGAAGACTGAAAAGGGAACAATGGCTTTCCTCACAACTCATATGACAAGGCAGCAGGTTTAAACCAATTAGTTTATGAGAGAAGCAAAAGATTTTTCCTGCAGCTTTTCTCTTTGGATTGCCTTGCCAAGCCTATGTGGTTTTCCAGAGGCAAAAAGGGATTGAATTCGTGAAGTTTAGT